AACCAGTTACAACAACTGGTCCAGCTACTACATCAACACCTCCACAACCAATAGAACCAAAGATTGATCTGGGATTTAGTTTGCAGCAAACGTTCGAACAAGATCTGGCAAACAAATCCTCACCAGCTTTCAAAGCGTTAGAGATGCAAGTCACCAACTCAGTAAGTCAAACTGTTTTCTATTGTGGTTTTTGCTTGCTTCAAAATCATATACAGCATAAGCATGAGATGTGTATACTGTATGACAAGCTTTGGAATATGAAATCAATGAAATAGATATGTATTTAATACATGTGATATACCATGAACTGTTTATCATTGTGTATATTGAATATTTCCATGTAAATATTTATTCCACAGCTCAATAAGGTATACTCACAAAGATTTGGAGATTCCTTCAATCGAACTGAAGTCACAGGTTTCAGGTATTGATCACTTCATGCTATTACATGTTTTTATAGATTTGTTTTTGTATTCTTAGGTTATATCTTGAAATGGAGGTATATGTTGTACTTTGCTTTGTTTGACTATGCATTTTGGTTTATCATTGAAATTAGAAAATAGTTTTCAGGTTATATGGACAGATTTTGGGGGATTATTTGTTCAGAAAACAACAATGGCAATTAAAAGTTAAAATGAAAAAAGGGCTGAAAAAATATATTTTTCAATTCATTTCTGTCACAGGCCAGGATCTATTATGGTGACTGCTTTGCTGATCTTCAATGATGTGCAAACACTGCCAAATGCTAGCTCTGCAGTGGACACTTTGACGACTGCTGTTTCCGGCTCTAATTTTTCCCTCCCTGTCAACACATCATCTATTAGTGCAGCTGGTAGGACATTATGTGATAACCGAATAGTTGATGCGAAATTTTGAAATAATTTATTGAAAGCACAAACTGTATCCGTAGTGATGAGAATATAATTTAAAGAAAACAATAACATCTTTAATGAATCTTTTCAGTTGTGTTGGCACCAACTCAAGCTCCTGCCACAGATGCCCCTACAACATTAATGAGCACAACTTCTCCACCAGGTATTACACAGTCGTACTGTGAAATTGAAATTAAATTCCATTTAAGAAGTGAAATGTTGACACTTAACAACTCACACAAATATATAATTTATGTACAAATACAAATACGTAATTATCACAACTCCGGAGAAAATTTTGTCTTTTTCTCCTTTCCTTACAGAAACCTCACAACTGGTCAACATGACATCACCACCACTCAATGCAACCTCACCCCCCATCAATATGACCTCACCACCTGTCAACATGACCTCACCACCACCTGTAAACATAACCTCAGCGCCAGTCAATATGACCTCACCACCTTTCATTGCAACCTCACCACCTGTCAACATGACCTCACCACCACCTGTAAACATAACCTCACCACCAGTCAACATGACCTCACCACCACCTGTCAACATGACCTCACCGCATGTCAACATTACTTCACCACCACCTGTAAACATAACCTCACCTCCAGTCAACATGACCTCACCACCACCTGTAAACATGACCTCACCACCACCTGTCAACATAACCTCACCGCATGTCAACATGACCTCACCACCACCTGTAAACATAACCTCACCACCAGTCAACATGACCTCACCACCAGTGAACACAACCTCACCACCTGTAAACATGACTTCACCACCACTCAATGCAACCTCCCCAGTAGAAACTGGAACATCAGGACAACCAGTTACAACAACTGGTCCAGCTACTACATCAACACCTCCACAACCAATAGAACCAAAGATTGATCTGGGATTTAGTTTGCAGCAAACGTTCGAACAAGATCTGGCAAACAAATCCTCACCAGCTTTCAAAGCGTTAGAGATGCAAGTCACCAACTCAGTAAGTCAAACTGTTTTCTATTGTGGTTTTTGCTTGCTTCAAAATCATATACAGCATAAGCATGAGATGTGTATACTGTATGACAAGCTTTGGAATATGAAATCAATGAAATAGATATGTATTTAATACATGTGATATACCATGAACTGTTTATCATTGTGTATATTGAATATTTCCATGTAAATATTTATTCCACAGCTCAATAAGGTATACTCACAAAGATTTGGAGATTCCTTCAATCGAACTGAAGTCACAGGTTTCAGGTATTGATCACTTCATGCTATTACATGTTTTTATAGATTTGTTTTTGTATTCTTAGGTTATATCTTGAAATGGAGGTATATGTTGTGCTTTGCTTTGTTTGACTATGCATTTTGGTTTATCATTGAAATTAGAAAATAGTTTTCAGGTTATATGGACAGATTTTGGGGGATTATTTGTTCAGAAAACAACAATGGCAATTAAAAGTTAAAATGAAAAAAGGGCTGAAAAAATATATTTTTCAATTCATTTCTGTCACAGGCCAGGATCTATTATGGTGACTGCTTTGCTGATCTTCAATGATGTGCAAACACTGCCAAATGCTAGCTCTGCAGTGGACACTTTGACGACTGCTGCGGCAGACTCAAATTTTTCCCTCCCTGTCAACACATCATCTATTAGCGCATCTGGTAGGAAATTATGTGATAACCGAATAGTTGATGCTAAATTTTGAAATAATTTATTGAAAGCACAAACTGTATCTGTAGTGATGAGAATATATTTTAAAGAAAACAATAACATCTTTAATGAATCTTTTCAGTTGTGTTGGCACCAACTCAAGCCCCTGCCACAGATGCTCCTACAACATTAATGAGCACAACTTCTCCACCAGGTATTACACAGTCGTACTGTGAAATTGAAATTAAATTCCATTTAAGAAGTGAAATTTTGTCACTTAACAACTCACACAAATATATAATTTGTGTACAAATACAAATACGTAATTGTCACAACTCTGGTGAAAATTTTGTCTTTTCCTCCTTTCCTTACAGAAACCTCACAACTGGTCAACATGACCTCACCACCACTCAATGCAACCTCACCCCCCATCAATATGACCTCACCACCTGTCAACATGACCTCACCACCACTCAACGCAACCTCACTGCCTGTCAGCATGACCTCACTACATGTCAACATGACCTCACCACCACCTGTCAACATGACCTCAGCGCCAGTCAATATGACCTCACCACCTTTCAATGCAACCTCACCATCTGTCAACATGACCTCACCACCACCTGTAAACATAACCTCAGCGCCGGTCAATATGACCTCACCACCTTTCAGCATGACCTCACTACCTTTCAATTCAACCTCACCACCTGTCAACATGACCTCACCACCACCTGTAAACATAACCTCAGCGCCGGTCAATATGACCTCACCACCTTTCAATGCAACCTCATCACCTGTCAACATGACCTCACCACTTCTCACATCAACAGCTGCACCAACCCCATTACAGACTGTGAATATTACATCAGCTACTCCCAATGCTACAGCTGGTCAAACTGCAGCTAGTGAGGGAACCCTGGGTCTTCAGTTTAGTCTCAACCAAACATTTACATCAGATCTCTTAAACACATCTTCCTCAGAGTTTCAGGCTTTAGCTTCAACAGTGGAGTCACAGGTAAGATTTCAATGCACTCCTACCATGCACAAATATTCTTATGAAGCCAAAGACAATTTTCCACATTATAGACAAAAACAAGTTCTGATACAAAGATCTGTACAATATAAGTTATCAAATAACATGTTGCAGCCTCCATAACAAACAAATCACAACCTATGAGCAACTGACAATAATGTTGTCTTTCAGTTAAATGAAGTGGGTCGCAGACTATATGGACCAAGCTTTATCTGCGCCAAAGTTAACTCATTCATGTAAGCCAAAATTGAAATTGCTTACAAATTTTGCTTTGTATTTGCGGCTCACATGCTTTGACAGTATATGTTTCCCTTTATTTACTGTAGGAGTGGATCAGTGGTTGTCAGCTCAACCCTCACGTTCACGAATCAAAGTTCAGTTCCTGAAACAAGCACTGCTACCTCACAACTCAGCAGTGAACTAACTAGCAACTCAACTCTGAACGTTTTAGCAGGCAGTGTGACTGCAGGTTAGTAATTGGAGACATAGAGATCAAATTGAATTACCCTGCAAATGTATACAGGTACATACATGATCAATGCCATATTTTCTTTTTTTGTTAATTATTTGTTCCGGTTTAGTTTCTTCAGCTGCCACTACCACAGCTCCAACAGCAGCAACAACTGCTGCCCCTTCAACATTAATGAGAACAACTTCTCCACCAGGTATTACACAGTTGTACTGTGAAATTGAAATTAAATTCCGTTTAAGAAATGAAATATTGTCACTTAACAACTCAGACAAATACATAATTTGTGTACAAATACAAATACGTAATTATCACAACTCCGGTGAAAATTTTGTCTTTTCCTCCTTTCCTTCAGGAACCTCACAACTGGTCAACATGACCTCACCACCACTCAATGCAACCTCACCCCCCATCAATATGACCTCACCACCTGTCAACATGACCTCACCACCACCTGTAAACATAACCTCACCACCTGTCAACATGACCTCACCACCACCTGTCAACATGACCTCACCACCACCTGTCAACATGACCTCACCACCACCTGTCAACATGACCTCACCACCACCTGTCAACATAACCTCACCACCTGTCAACATGACCTCACCACCACCTGTAAACATGACCTCACCACCACCTGTCAACATGACCTCACCACCTGTCAACATGACCTCACCACCACCTGTAAACATGACCTCACCACCTGTCAACATGACCTCACCACCACCTGTAAACATAACCTCACCACCTGTCAACATGACCTCACCACCACCTGTCAACATGACCTCACCACCACCTGTCAACATGACCTCACCACCACCTGTCAACATGACCTCACCACCTGTCAACATGACCTCACCACCACCTGTAAACATAACCTCACCACCTGTCAACATGACCTCACCACCACCTGTCAACATGACCTCACCACCACCTGTCAACATGACCTCACCACCACCTGTCAACATGACCTCACCACCACCTGTCAACATAACCTCACCACCTGTCAACATGACCTCAGCGCCGGTCAATATGACCTCACCACCTTTCAATGCAACCTCATCACCTGTCAACATGACCTCACCACCTCTCACATCAACAGCTGCACCAACCCCATTACAGACTGTGAATATTACATCAGCTACTCCCAATGCTACAGCTGGTCAAACTGCAGCTAGTGAGGGAACCCTGGGTCTTCAGTTTAGTCTCAACCAAACATTTACATCAGATCTCTTAAACACATCTTCCTCAGAGTTTCAGGCTTTAGCTTCAACAGTGGAGTCACAGGTAAGATTTCAATGCACTCCTACCATGCACAAATATTCTTATGAAGCCAAAGACAATTTTCCACATTATAGACAAAAACAACCTATGAGCAACTGACAGTAATGTTGTCTTTCAGTTAAATGAAGTGGGTCGCAGACTATATGGACTAAGCTTTGTTCGCGCCAAAGTTAACTCATTCATGTAAGCCAAAATTGAAATTGCTCACAAATTTTGCTTTGTATTTGCGGCTCACATGCTTTGACAGTATATGTTTCCCTTTATTTACTGTAGGAGTGGATCAGTGGTTGTCAGCTCAACCCTCACGTTCACGAATCAAAGTTCAGTTCCTGCAACAAGCACTGCTACCTCACAACTCAGCAGTGAACTAACTAGCAACTCAACTCTGAACATTTTAGCAGGCAGTGTGACTGCAGGTTAGTAATTGGAGACATAGAGATCAATTTACCCTGCAAATGTATGTACATGCATGCTTAATGCCATATTTTCTTTTTTTGTTAATTATTTGTTCCGGTTTAGGTTCTACAGCTGCCACTACCGCAGCTCCAACAGCAGCAACAACTGCTGCCACTACTGCAGCTCCACCGGCAGCAACAACTGCTGCTCCTTCTGTAGCTGCAACAACAGCTGCCCCTTCTGCAGCTGCTGCCACTACTGCAGCTCCACCAGCAGCAACAACAGCTGCCCCTACTGCAGCTGCCACTACTGCAGCTCCACCGGCAGCAACAACTGCTGCTCCTTCTGTAGCTGCAACAACAGCTGCCCCTTCTGCAGCTCCACCGGCAGCAACAACAGCTGCCCCTACTGCAGCTGCCACTACTGCAGCTCCACCGGCAGCAACAACTGCTGCTCCTTCTGTAGCTGCAACAACAGCTGCCCCTTCTGCAGCTCCACCGGCAGCAACAACAGCTGCCCCTACTGCAGCTGCCACTACTGCAGCTCCACCGGCAGCAACAACTGCTGCTCCTTCTGTAGCTGTAACAACAGCTGCCCCTACTGCAGCTGCCACTACGGCAGCTCCACCGGCAGCAACAGATTCTCCAACATCCAGTGAAGGAACTTTGGGTTTACAATTTAGTCTCAACCAAACTTTCACATCAGACCTCTCCAACCCATCCTCAACAGCTTTCCAGACTTTAGCTACAACGGTGGTCACAGAGGTAAGATTACTGTGAACAACAATCTCTTTTACAAATTCTTGGTAAAATATATGAGACTGAATTTTGGTATTGGTAGCGTTCAAAAGGGGAGCAAATGACTTAATGCAATCCCGGTATCTATTGGGTGTCATCCTACAATGATTTTGCTTAAATTAGTGCCTAAAAATAGATCAATAGATACCATATATTCATAAAATTGCAGCCAATAATCTACTTCCTGGCATTGTTTAGTATTTCTGACTCCATTCTAGCTAAGTTGTTCAGATGGAACTTAATATCAGATTACACAGTGCATCTTGCTCCAAATTGTATTCAAACCTAATCAATACATCATTGTTTTTATATGTGCTTTCAACCATTTATTTTTTATATAATCAAACACTGATATTTTCCTTAAGGTAAACAAAGTCTGTGTAAGGGTCTTTGGACCATCTTTCAGACGCTCCATTGTGAACTCATTCACGTAAGACAAAATTCCCTAACTTTCTTTTCCTTGAAATTTACCGCTCACTTGTTTATTAAATGTTTATTTATCATTTTGTCACTGTAGGAGTGGATCAGTGGTTGTCGCCTCAACACTTGTGTTCAACAGTTCAAGCTCAGTACCTGCAACAAGCAGTGCAACTTCACTTCTCAGTCGTGAACTTACAAGCAACTCAACATCCCTGAACATTATTGCTGGCAGTGTCTCTACACGTGAGTTATCAGACATCTTGAAGTAATCTTTTATTTGTGGTTTACATTTACTTCTGTTAACAAACATGGATGCACATAGCATTCAACATGCATGTTAAATTGACAAATTTGTCATTCTTTTTATTTCTTAATATTAACGTATAAGAAGGACTCAATGCTGGGCCGAACCTCTGGCTAAGACAGTATTTTGATTTTATCTTGTTACTTTACGTCTGAAGGATTTCACTGAGTAATACCTCTGTTTTTTCTGAAATTTCAGAGGCAACATCAACATCAAACAGTCTAAGGCCTACAATGGGCTCATTGGTAGTCCTAATAGTAACACTGCTGACTGTGGCTCAGATGCTGATGGACTTGTAACCAGCACCAATGGCAGATTCACTGACTTAGGCAATAGCTTGACGCTATAAAGTCGGAGGAAAAAAGAAATTTTCGAAGAAACAAGAACCAAAGGCACAAGAGGTGTACATTATGAAAGTTACCAGTACAATGTCATATGGTAAAAAGATGTGTACTGTTTGTCAAATTCTAAAAAGATATTTTCTTTCATTTTAATTTTACCTCTCTCATTTATTTAAAGAAATACTCTAAAGGATTGTAAGATTAAAACTATCTATGTTTGAGACTACTTTGTGTTTTTGTAGAACTTGCAATTCTTTTTTTTGTAAACGTCTCTTTGTGTACTATTTTTATATGGCACTGTGAGGACATGTTTTATTAAATACCAACTATTTATTTTCAGTTAAAGGCATGTCAAAACATAAATTTCTAGATGCGAATGAAGGAAGAACTGTGCAGTTGTAGTTTGTCAAGCCAAAATATTTGGGTGTGGCAGTTCAGTAGGAATATTGGTGGAGACCAATAATTCATATTATATTATTATTGTTTTTCATCTGAAAACAAGTATGCAGTTGGTAAAGACTCAAAACATATTTTAACATAGAGATCTAACTACAACCATGTTTTAGGAAGCTAAGGTTAACGGCATAGCATAGTTAAGTGAGTGCAATAGTACTGTTGAGCATAATAGTTACATTGAATAAAATGTCTGGTTTTGTACTTTTAAGTCAATGATGGCAATTGGGCTACTGCTTGTCTATAGATTCCAGGTACAATAATATAATTTAGCAAAATTACTTGTTTTAATTCCCAGGTTGAATAAAGTCCTTCTTCTTGAATGTTCTTTTTGATATTGGGGTTGAACAAGTGCATTTTGTATTCATCATTTAAGTATAAAATATTGCCTTTAAAATCACCAGTTGTTTTTTCTAATTTCTTTTATCTCTCTTAAAAAAAGATATAGCAAAATATATTTGTACTTAAAAGTATTCACACCTCAACTTGATGGCAAATTAAACTATTTATATGTAATGGTGTGATTGATATACTACTTTAATTTTCTGTTCAGTTCAGACATCTTAATTGAGCCCAAAAAGCAGTTAAATCTTTACAGTCTACTCAAACCATGAATTGATTTATAAAAAATAAAAAAACATCAAAATTGGAGTATGTTACAGGCAATAAGAAATAGAGATGCACACGGGCATGCTGGCACCCTCGTGTGGCCCCATGATAAATGAAAAACAGGAGGGCGGGGCAAAGATTAAAATAAACAGTTGAAAGTTTTAAAAAAAGATGAATAAATAAATAAAGGATACATTTATACAGCTCTCATTTTGTTAGATGATGTTTTATTAACCCACATTGTATTTAATATCTTACACGTTTCACTTGATATAGTTTAACCAATGTTTTCAATAAAAATTGTAGTTTTTCTTCTCTTGCTACAACCTCATTTTATTACTTTAACGGATATCTTTGTTTTGTTTATTATCTCTATTAACGCTTTCATAGTCTTATTACTACTATTATTATTTTTTACTGCTATTTATTCCTTTTATACAGTTCATCATATGTATTGACCCTATTTAGCATTGCTGTATTTCATGCTTTTGTCTTCTCTTTTTATTCTTTATACCTCTTTAATTGCTTTAATCTCTTCTTATAGCTTTTAACTTTTAATTTACTCTTATCCCTTCTGATGTTTCTCTTTTAGTTGCCAACATAATCTGATCCTCTTGGTCTCAGGGGCTCACGGTTGGCTGGGTTCTTATGATGTTGGTTTATTTTCATTGGTATATATTCATGAACAATCCTGGGACTGATCCCAGGAACTCAACTATTGGAAGTGATTTGGCATAACCGTGTGGTCAGCCTGCCACGCTGCCTCCCCAATGCCGTCTACCTCACTATGTGGACCTGCCTGTGCCTGCTGCCATGGTGTCAATGATTCTTTCCTGGCATAACATCGCAAGTGTGGATGGCACAGACACTGCCAATGATGATCACCCACGGCTCTGTGTTGCTTTATCAGGGCCCACAGGGCTGCTTACCTTTGTTTGATCTACAGCTGCAGTCAGCATAGCAGTTTCACGGAGCGGTACAACTCTCCAGAGCTGCACCGACTCATACCAATGAGCAATACCCAATGCTTTCCAGCACCCCCCTGGATTACCCACATCAAACTCCACTTTCTTTGAATATGTTAAAAGACTCCAGGATATCACACAAACTGCCATCCACATTAGCTGTTCCACAGATGAATCCGACGAAAACAGACAGTGGTGCGTGGGATTTTGTGACACCTCGTACTACAACAATAACTATGAACAAAAGTTCCACTCTAACAATGAGGCTACAAACACTGAACCCTGTGACAAAGGGACAACACAAATTAATGATGCCAAAATAATTTGGGAGTCAAACCAAAAAGACTGATGTCGGGTCATATTCAGTAGTAATGAATAAAACAGAGTAAATAGAAAGCTTACTGACTGATTCTAACATTGATAATATTTGTCGGCTTACTCTTTCTCAAACTTAGACTTAGACAACTTTATTGATCACAGAGGGCAATTCAGTTCCATAGTCCACCCAGACCATGCATACATTTACATACAAACAACTGATGGAGTATGTCAGAGACAATAAAACCAATCAGTACTTGACAAAGATGATCGCTGGCAAGCTGACACCCTCGTGTGGTTTCTTTGGGTAATAACACACACAAGGGCCAGGCAAGATAGGAAGCACAGTTTAAAGGGATACTTCACCCGTTGAAACATGAATCTGTATTGACATTGGGTCATATATGTAGTAGAAATGTGAAATACACATTTGAAGTTGGTGCCTTCTTGGCCGTGAAAAGACAGAAAGTGTCTTGGGCCTGTCAGCAGCCGTCTCGCCGCTTTATTTACATTTTTTCGCCATTATCAGCTTTCTCCATAGAGCCTGTTGGCATAGCTTCCAAGCAATATGGCGGACGTTAAGTTTCGATTCTGGGAGTGAGTTCCCACCCACTGATCTGTGATTGGTCTGTAGCTTCAGTGGTCGAAAATATGAGGAACTAGCGTTGTAGTTTCACCCCGCTAACCGCAACAGCTTCCAGTGACGCAAAAATCATAATTTTGCGTCACTGGAAGCTCCTTCTCAGACTTAGAAATACAAAGATTTCCCATCTCAGGGAAAAATTAGTGCGGGATGCACAACCATTCAAAAATATTACCAGGTTTCTAATGATACAAAGTTTAATGCAAATGGGTGAAGTATCCCTTTAAGGACAACAGAATTAAATAAATAAGTCAAAAAATACATGAACAAGATATTTTAGGGCGCATTGCACATCACATTGTAAGATTACATTCAAGGATTATACGCACAGGCCACTGATGCACAAGTCAGAGGAATAAACCACTATATGGTTAAACACAAGAACAAGGGGCATGATAAGGTAAAAATACAACTCCACTTAAGGAAAACTATTTCTGATGAACATACAAATATTAAGAGAGGTATTGAAAGGGTTGAAGAGCAATGTTTCAAGCTTTTACTTCAGACTTTCACAGGATGCATATTCACAAAGCCTTAAATAAACACTCCATGGGTTATTCACTATTATTGGTATATGTTGCCTCAGGATTTAATTCTGAAATCTAACAAAGAAAGTGTTAGTAAATTTGCTAAATTGGCAAAACAGGAAGTACCTCAGTTAGGATGTGAACCCCCTTTTTAGCAGGCAAGATGTGTTGCATTGGTAAAATAGATAAAGTAATAATAGATGGGTAATTGTTAGAATAAGCTGAATCAAAAAAGGGGGTCTTAAAGGTCCAATATGAGATATTTACTTAAGTAAATCATAAAATGACCTAACTATATCATCAGGCATTAAGGAAACATGCTATTTTGAAGTGCTGGCTTCTCTGTCAACAACAAAGCAGCCAGTATGGCCTCCTTCTAAGTTTCCAACTGGTTCAGATATACAGTAACTGAGTCTACCCAACCTAAAAAGCCTTGGCGTTTATCTAATAAGCTCCACAACCAGAAACCAGGTAAAACTAGGATATATATTGTAGGAGCTGTTATAAAATGCAGAGAGGTTAGAACGCAGAAAGGTTTCATGACCAATACAGAGCTAGTTAACACTGAAGAGTCAGTGTCCACGACATGGTAACCTGCGTGCACATTGACTCTAGAGAGGAGGGGGCGAGGGTAGACAGCTCTCTCCAGTGTTATGAATTTCGACTGCAGTAGCCTACCAATTATAAACATTAGGTGCACGAAAATAACATGACAATAAGCCAAAAGATACGATCGGTGTGATTGTTTGTTTTTTTTTTACACAAAAAGAGGACTGTGTTGCTAATTAACACAATAGTTATAGCTTAAATGTTGTTGATGCACAGCCATGTTGGATTTTAATTTTGGCTACTGAAATTTTCCAAGTCGTAATTCCAACTACAGAACCAGAAACTCAGATTTCCCGACATCCGAAATCAAATGCAAAAATAGTCCCTCCTTCAGAAAGATTAACGAGATTATATACTGATCGATGATAGTGATCATATAAAAGTATAGTACCTTTGGTTAGTGTTACACAGCTGATAATGAAAAGCGTAATCGTATTAAATAGCTCACACAAAACCTGTGAATCAACATCTGCTCACTTGAGAAACAAAAGAACAGATGTGCAGCCAGTCCAACACCTTGTTCCATTACACATATGAATGACTGTTCTGAAAAATTCATAGTTAATAAAAGCCAATGGGCCTTATATAGCACCCTTCATTAAAAATCCCCCATGTTTAATTAGATCACATCAGTCACACTTGAGGTACATCTGTCACTGACTGAGGCCCAAGATATTCAAGCCCCGATGAGTGGCTTTGCTCGACTGCACATTGAAAATCATGAAAGGGAATGATGAAAGCTGTTTAAGGGGGACGAACCAAATGAATTTGCCTCCATGTGAATCAATGATCTTATTTCATATATTGTATGTACGTAAAATCTCATTTGTAATTTTATGTCTTCCCCTTTTTGTGTCTGTGTTTAATACTGTTATACATTGTTTTCTTACAACTATTGATGAATATTAAGATGTTTATTATTGCAAAAAATAAATAAATAAAACTAACAAGAAGTTACTATTTTTGCAAGTATGGCCAATATAATTCCTACTAATGACTAGACACTTTAGTGACCCCCAACCCAGGTGTTTTCATTTAAAAATGACAGTCTTATTCAAAGTCTTGGCTGTGCTGCCATTCATTTATGTATATTTGTAGCATCTACAATTATGTCCACAGTTGATGAGCTTTGACTTAACATCAAATATGTCAACCTGCTGGTTGTGCAACAGAAAAAGCCATAAGCAAGTAAGATGCATGCACAGGAGACCCTAACGGTACAGTATATACAACACAAAAGCAGCAATATATAATTTTATACATTTTAGTCCATTTTTAGTCAATACAATTAATTTTAGTGAAAAGTTTTTGTCAAGATGTTTTCTCTCTTAAAAGAAAATTAATCAGCCTAACACAGGTATCACACTGATATCATTTGAATAAAAGGGCTTTCACTTGTACCAGAAACATGCCCATCTTGAGCCTGACATTAAATAGTAAACAAATGTACTGTCATTACATTTATAAGGGAGGAACAGTATTAAGTAGCCTTATGTTATGGTTCTGTTTCTTTCCAAGAACAGAAAAATTTAATATGAATCTCAAACCTGGTTGTTTGATTAAAGTAAAGCCTTCATTACATCAAATGCAATGCAAAAGACCTTACTCGCTGCTATATTACAAAGACCCAACTTTAATCCATCGTGAGCACAGCACTTAGCAACATTTAGCAAAGAGGCAGAAATCTTGGGCAAATCCAGGCTCATGATGAACAGCCATCTGGCGAAACTGCGCCGGGCTTGAAAAATGGGACAGAGGGAGATGCAGGAAGGATAGGGACCAACAGGAGGAGGGTGTCCATAGCAGCAGGCCGTCCCAACCAACGTTCCAGCATACCCTACGAGATATGAGAGCTCAGGAGCTCCCAGGAAAATATGTGGTTAGTAACTAAGATTT